AGCTTCAAGACTAACGTAACCACTACAGCTTCCGGGAAGGAACCTCTTCCTAAAGCTGAGTCTGTGCTCACAGAAAGCTTCTCAAATGAGATTACCCAGGGCAGTGGGCTGGCATAGTGCTGAAACCATAGGCACACATGTAAGCTCTAAAACTTCCCATTTAGACATGACCCAGGAGTTCTAAACCAGGGTAGGCAGAAAAAAAATGCATTTCTATCAATAAAAAACAGTCACTAGGACTTGGGAGGAGTAAAGTAAGGAGTGTTCATGTCTTGAGGCCTTGAAGACATTCCTAGGGAAACAGATTCATTTTTAACTACCTAGAGGTTTTTTTACTTACAGCCACAGAGTCTTACAGGAGAAGGTTTTTGATCCTTTAGTACATAAAGAAGTAATCTAAGGACAAATGTCTGCACGCTCCAGACATACAGCTTGCAAGTTTGTCTTTGATGAGATTAAAAAAAAAAACAACAACTTTATTTGTGCCATGTTGGCACAGGTTAGGCTATAACATGACCACAAGCTAAAGCTAAGTCTATAGGAACAAGACTCCTGACATTAGAAAATCTGGACAGACAAACCCAAAGCATAATGTGATTCTGCTGGTGGAAAAAATTATCAGTATAGAAAGAGGGTGCACATTTTAACAAAAAACATAAAAAAAACATCTAGATCTGGCTGGATCCAGGCAAAAATTTTGTCTGGAATCTGAATTCCTCAAAGAAGGGAGTACACAAAAACTGTTTTTAGTGACCCGCTCACGCTAGTTCAAAGTTGTTAAAATAATGAAGTCTAATCAAACTGCAGAAGGAATTAAATGATGAGGTTGACTGCAGTACCAGAAGCATGGCTTAAAAACCTTTTAGTTTTCCATCCTACTTTCCTATTTCTAGAAAATAATGCATTTACTTTGGAAAACAACAGGGTGGGATTCCTCTTCATCGATGCTTTTAAGGTCAAATGGGAAAACTCAAGTGTTATTATTTCTCATAAAAAATTAATACTGCACATTATAAAACTGAAATACATTTTCCTTTGCATGGCAAAGAAGCTTTTGAAACTGTTAGGGATAAATTACTTGAGAAGTGAGTTCAACAGAATTTGGTGGGAAAAAAAAAATCCACCACCAAATAATGCCTATATGACAAATGGCTTTCTTGATTGCTTTCCTCTACACTTTGGAACAGATTCGCAGAGAAGCTAAAGCTGCAGAGGTTACATTTCGCCTCAGTGTAAAAATTAATTAAATGGAATATCTGCAGCCTAGGTACACTTACCTTTCAAGACTCCTTGGGCCAGGCAGCTCTACTCCAGAACACTATAAAGCATAGTATGTGAGTACATTTGTACAATTTAGGCTGCATAGAAGTTTCCAATCCTACAGATAAGCACAGGACTACACATGCCTGAAGAATGACTTGTATGTAGAAGTTATACAAAAGCTTCATTTATAATGTTGAAAATCTAAGTGGTAACCATCGCCATGAACCACACGTGTAAGAGGAGTTAGGTCAAATGGAGAAAGCTGAAGCAATATTTCAAATATATTCCTTTCATTTCAGCATGTGAGTGCTATCTCACGTTAGCCCTTCCTCCATACATGGGGGAGGGGAAGACTGAATAATAATTAATAGGCTTACATTGCCCTGTGTTACGAAGACTGACGGCTTCCCTCCTCGTGACAGTGACTTTGAGCATGAGTTGTGCTGTCATGTGCATGTCATGCAGGCAGCCCTTTTCCCTTTTTGGCAACATCAGTAATTTTTTTAGGCTTCTTGCTGCTCCCATGCCCTAAGGAGGTTTCACACATGTTCCAAGGTTAACCAATATATTTTGCTTTTATATGTAAATTCAATTAATTTTTGCTCTTTCACTTACATTCAGAAAAACTAGCTAACAGCAGAGAAATTAAATGAAGTGAAAGAGCAAACAGCACCTGTGATGTTTCCCATGACTGAAGAAGGTCCACTAGAAGGTCTTGCATTTGCCATGTTTCGGCATTGCTGCCTTTCCATCTTACATCTCATTTCTTATCAGTTTGATCCTAAATTTGACCTGAAAATAGGTAGCAGGTGGCAGATATGACTGCAAGAAGGTTCGTACTCCTCCCTGAGTTACTGAAATTGCTTAGTGAACTCTGAAACCATCAGTGATTTCAAGAGGTTTCCCAACAAAAGCATCTTAAATATAGCAGCTGTTTGGGCTAACTAGGCAAAATGCACATGATACAGCGTATAACCCATATAAACTATTACATGAATTGAACCTTATCTGTGCAGTACAGTGAAGATGTGCCTAAGATAGCCATTAAGTGAGGTAAGAGGCTGCGTTTGACTTGGTACTGAAAGGAAAGCACTGCAGAGCCATATCACATTGTGCAAATACAGACAGAAGCCACATAGAACAAGGTAGGTTTGTCTTAGAAGGCTGTTACAAAAATACACTGTTGAGCAGAAAAATAAATATTATAATGATAAATTTGATTTGATAGTTATTTTCTGAGTGTGGCTCAGATTTACTTCCCATTTAGTAACAAATGAATGTTCTGAAAACTTAACTTGCACTATCACAGGCAAGGAAAGGTTAAAAACATATAGCTTCAACCTTCCATACATTCAATCTTCAGAGAAGATAATTAATATCATATGTACCATGGGAGTTTAGAAAACTACTACTACTACAAAAAAACCAAAACCCCAGGTAATACCTACAAGACTCGTGAGCTAGACTTGCTTATAAAACTTGACTGATACCAGTGTTGGCTTTGTGCTGTCCCAACACAAGAGCACTCATTTAAGTGTCCAGCTTTTGGAACTGAGCCTTGTGTTTGAAGAAATGGCTGCTTTCAGAAGCCACCTCTCAATTCAGCATTTAGCATCCTTTAGCAGTTATTCTCCTGATCTGAACAAACATTCAACTGCAAAACTAAATTTTTGTGAAACAACACCAGAGCCTTTGGAAATGTTCGTGTTGCACATGACTGCCAAAAGAGTGTCAACTACATTTTACAGTCTTCAGATTACGCAAACTGTAATTATTACTGATACTGAAAACTAATTTTCAATGTGATATTATTTTCTTCTCACTAGAAGAGAGATAAATACTTGACTGATTTAACTCTTGAATAGAATACTGATGTTATCACTGTCCAGTTGCAATGGAAAATGAGTAAAATCTGTCTTTCACAAGAGTTATGCATAGAACAAGTACAGATGCGTATACATACCAATACTCTGAACACAGAAATGGGGCTGAGCTGCAATTTTTTCTCTTTTGAATGAAAATGAGGATTAAATACAAGGTACATTTCAAAACCGACTTGGAAAATACCTAACTCACATTTACCTTCTTTATTTTGGCAGAAGAGAACTTATTGGCCCATAGGAGCATCCAGACCTATGTCAGCATAGTCAAGGTCTCCTGTTCTTAGAGAACCTTAATAATGTATTTCTAAATATAACCTTAATGAATAAAACTAAAAAATAAAAAAAGGGCATTTCAGTAGAATTTTAGCTTCATACTGGGCAGAAACAGGTAGCTGAATAATTTTACGATTTTATGGAAACACAGAAACGAAACGGACTGTCTCCCATGTTAAGACAAACAAATTTGTGCAACTAGAAGAATGCTGCAAATTAAAAACAAAAGTACTACCAGCAGCATGCAAATCCTGCAGTGTTTTTGGCCTTGTTAGACGCATCTTAATACAGGGGTCTTTTTCTGGGCTTTGTGTATCACCTAAATAAATTGTAGTGAAATACTGTACACCTCTGCCCTTGAGAGAATATCAGCAAAGTCCATGGTTAAAAACAGTCAGGTAGGTACCACTAAGTCCCCTCACTTGTTCAGTTTCCTTTCCCCTACTTTTGGGATGCAAAGTACTTTTTGCTTGAGTATATACAACCGCTATGTTTACACATTCACACAAGACTTGGCAGAGACAAATATCTGCCTATTCATTATAGACTCTGCACTTCACAGTTAAAGGTCAAGCAAAAGGAAAAGCAAAACCAGATGCAAAGCCAACTATAATGGGAGCTATATAACACACAGAAGTACAAAACAACAGGTATCTTTGGCAACAGGCTTTCACATAAAAACGAACAAGAAAATAAAGAGAAAGCACAAAAAAAACAGAAAAACAAGCATTGTTCTTCAAAAAGCACAGACAAAACAATCCAAACGACATTTTAAAGTGTACCCCAAAAGCAGAAGACTTAAATACATTACAGTTTCTAGAAATAAGAATAAAAATGACATATTGGATATGACCCTTTGCAGCATGTCACTTCACCTGAAAAATTAATACGAATTGTGTTCATCAGTAAATGGATTTTCTTCCAAAAATTTTATCTCGGCTAATATTTTTTTCACATATTTTTAACAGTCAATAGAATTTATGAAGTGGGAGAGAGGAGCAGAACATACGCACAGGTGTTCTAGCACAAACTTACAGGTGACAGAAAGTTCTGTTCCACATTAATAACTGAAAGCAGCACATCTTTACTCTGTAAACACAGAGCAAGGTCACTCATAATGAAAAATATGGTTTTGTGTAAATTGAAGGAAAAGTAGTAAATAATAAAAAAGATACTGTGTAGACATTATCTCTGAGGTTCTGGACAACAAGCATTTCTCCCCTTCTTTGAGGGGACCACTCCGCAGACTGAACTCATCTGTTTTTATATCATGTAGTTTTACTTGTTCAAGTCAAAAGTGGAGAACCATGAATATTCTGTCTTCAAACAGGAATAGCACTAATCCAAATCTTAAGGAATCAAGTTTCCTAATGGCCTGTTCTGCTGCAGTGCAACATGCTTTATTAGCACAGAGACTGGGGGATGTGTTCTTCTGTTTTAATCAACAAACGCAATACAAATCCCTACATGCACCTACGAGGGTCCATAATACATTTTTGTGACAATAGGCAAAGGGTCATCTCGCGTGGCAAGAACAGCCTCCAGAACAGAATAAATATGTAAGAAAAACATTTGACGTACTTGGATCTGACAAGATGGAGTCGGTTTTCGGCAAAAATTGGTCACAGCGGACTCCTTGGTAGCCCTCTTTGCACCTGAGAAAAAGGGGATAAATGACAAACATACGCATGCGATAGTAAAAGGTTAATTTCAAGGTAGAAAATCAACTGATTTTTTCCCTGTCAATGCTGTGAGAGACGTGCATATTTAGAGTTATCTGAATTATTATAGAAGCAAGTTTCTGAAACAGACAAGGACTACACAAAATAATCATTATTTTAAGGATTTCCCCGCAATTATTTCTGGTTATTGTAGAAACTATCAAAAGAAATGTCAGTTAAGTGCAACTCTTCTTTTAAATATTAAATTAAACATCAGTTAAACAGCAAAAGAATCATCTTCACTCAAATAGACATTCACAGATAAAATAAACTCATTAGATGAAACAAAGCTTTATAAAATTTCTGTACTGCGCAAAGCCATGAGATTTGCAACGCATTCATCTTTGGATGTTTGAATAAGTAGTGAACTCTTATCCAGCCATTTATTTTAAGACAAATTCCAACTGTATTTAAAAGATAATATGTTTAGGCTTGAAAGACAATATCAGGCATTGCTCCTAAGTGAACTTCCTTAGATATCCACAGAAATACATTTCCAATCGTATAAACCAGAATATCCCACTGTCTTAATAAAATCTAATTTGCTTTGACTAGAATTCTAATACCATTATTTATCTTGAATTCTTACTTTAAAAAACTCCATTTAATGCATTTGGGCTGTTCTCAGAACAACCCCTTTCATTTCAAATAAGCATACTGAAATCAGGCCTTTATTTATTCACTAAGCCTTTTCACAAAGAAAAGTGATGGACTGTTTAATTATGAACGATAGCAACAGGGACTCCGTATCTCACCAAGTTCCTGAGCATCACCCAAACAATATGCTCAAATCAGAATCAGTATCTTCATTAGGACTGACAACTGTAACTTGAATTCTGTGATAATGTCAGGAACAGAAGTTATCTATTCCTTCACCTTTCTACTCAGTCTTCCTCTGAAAGTCACCTTTTAAATGCTTTTCAGTTAATAAATTAATACCTGAAAAGAGCATCTTCACCATAATTGATACAGGGATTAGAAAGCGTATTTGTGAAGAAATCTAAAAACTATAACAATTCCCATCAGACCCAACAACCTACACTAAGAGGAAGATTTAAAAATATTGATATTACGTCAAATCTTGCTTTTAGCCTTTTTCCCTTAAAAAGGGAAAGGCTTTTTTTGCTTTCTTCCCTTACTTTGGAGATCAGTTTTTCATTGATAATTATTTATCTGTAAAATAGACTGTAAAAAACAAATTCAGATCCTATGGCAGTGGTCACAATTTACCACTCAAGGAAAAAATGCTCTGAAGATTTTTTTTTGTCTTTTTTATTTTCCATACAATATATTCAATTAAAAGATGTCCATTAGTCAAAAAACTCAATTGAGTCTCATAAACTCAGACACCACTGCATGCACTTCTTTGCATCCAATTATGAAATACCTGACGTTGCCTCACATGGAACAGAAACTCATCTTCACATTCTTGTGGAGGTTTGGTAGTGCTCATTTCCAAGCTATAGAACAGCATTCAAGGGTGGCGATATTCTTTTCTTTGCGCTAGCATTTTCTATTAACATTTTAACAGACATTTGTGCCAGTCTCACTTACCACCCTATTCAGACTTGCAACCGAACTGTTGGTTTGCAAGTCATACAGATCATTCATCACCTAGTCCAATGCAGCACTCACAGAGCAGTAACCACCTACAGGAGCTGAACTTAACACATATTAGCATGATGCACACTACCAGGCAGGGCAATGCTGAACAATGCTATCAGTACCCTCGTACCAGCAGGGTTAGCCCTTTCATTCTCCTCCAACAGTCATCAAGGCCAGCAAAGACAGGAGTCTACTGCCTTCCTTCCATATTATTCCACACCTTTTATAACAAACTTTGCTATCTCATTTCACAGCCGCGTAAGAATCTGTACCATTTATTCCAGCTACCAGTCAGCCCTGGTTAATTAATTGCTCATGCCAGAGTTGAAGGAAAAGAGTTTGCTGCCAGGGCATGCAACAAACTCCATGTCACTATTCCAATCCTACCAACTGCCAGGGGCCAAACATAAGTCTTTTACTTCAGGAAAATATTTGTTCTATCTGGCACGTTGGGCTTTGAATATTCTCATTTCCACTGAATGCTGTTTTTAAGAGTTACAGTTTACCAGTTGCAAATACTCCAGATGCATATAAAGTTGATGGCCTTGAAAATGGCATGGTATAAGACCCCTCTAACTGGTAAAGTATTGCCCAGGTATAGGATCAAGTTAGATGTACTTCCATGGCTTTCACTTCCTAACTTTGTAAGAGCAGCGGGTTGGAACAGAATGTATCACAGTCTTCTCATCGTACACCTCCTGCCTTGTAAAACTCAGCATCTCTGGAACCCGACTGTGCACTGCTGCTACTATGCTACGCAGTGTGGAAATAACAATGGTGCTGTGTTTCTTCTCTTAAAAATGAATTGGCTGTCTCATCAAACTGTTATTTCTACCTTGACTATATCCTACATACACTGTTGCTACTTCAGTGTGAAACTGAAGCATATGGTAATCAACTGGTTGACTGACTTGGATGAGTCTAAAGTAGCATTTTCACTTACCTGCACACTTGGATGAACATGCCAAAACAAGCACTTATTTTTGTTATTTTCAAAATTGAATACAGAGGTGGCTGATAAGGAATAAATAAGATACTTTAATATAAAAATGTAATGCTACACTAAGCAAACTACTATAGCCATACTTGTGTTTTAAACAACGTTTCAATAAAAATAAAAACTAAGTTCCCTAGCTTCATTATCAAATGATTTTTGAAATCTGTAAGACAACAACAAGTACTAAGAATAACTGCTTTGTCAACATCACAAATTTCATATCTTTGTAAAGCAGTTTTGTGAAATTGAAGCCTTTTAAAATATACATTTGATAGTTATAACATTGAAATACAATAAAAGCTGATGTTGTGGCAAAACCCTATAATCTCCTCTGAAGTATCAGCCATCCATTCTAAATGGGAAATGTGATGGTTGTACTCACGGCACCGGTTAAGTCAACATGCTGTTAATTGGCATCACACCTCTGAAGGAAAAACAAACAAAAAAAACCCAAAACAACAAAACAAAGAAAACCCCTCTTACAACTATACTGCAATTACATGCTTTTTGTCACATTCATAAGTATATAGGAAAGTCCAATTGAAGTCATTAAACATTGCCACACAGTGCAAATCATTGCATTTATATTTATGGCTGTATTAAAAATAATATCTGTGAGCAATCAGGAGAATCTTGATAAATACTTAGATACAGCTGACTGTACAAATGATCACTTCATTATACGACAAGCAAGGGTTTATTAGCAATGCCTTCAGAGAAGAAAGAAAGCAATAGTAGGATGAGATATTGCTCACAGTCAAGTGAAAGCTCTGACCTGCACGTGAGATTGCCACTTTCAGCTATGAGCTGGAACTGCAGTGTGAACTCCAACTCAGTAACAGAACACACGTAGATCCTTAGTGCTGTGTTCTATTAACAAGCTTAGGCATATGCACAAGTGTAGACCATGGTGAAAGTCTCCATAAACAGAATTACAGTTTAATAGCAAATTAAATCTGAGTAAGGAATCCACTATTCTTCACTCTGATTTTCACCAAAACAATTTTACGTATCTATGCTTCAGACCAAAATTAACAATAATTGTTACAATTTAGAAGTGGTACGAAAAAAATCCTATGTAAAGCAAATATGAAGCTGCTAAAAATCCTGAAATACAGAACATGCTGCTAAATTCAGACAGGATTACTTAATGTTGTGTTCTACACATCTTGCACTTGGTAACGTAATTTCTCAAAGATGGTGTTTTTTTAAGTTATCAAGACAAGCTTTACTGTGCGTTGCACTTATGTAGTCACTCACAACCTCCTTTCTGTGGAAAGCTACATACAGTAACACATTTCTCACTCCTCAAGGTAAGGTGTTTTGGTCCTTCCTCTACTTAAGCGCATTTTCACTTAGAAATCAAAAAGCAAAGAAATTATTTTCTCATCACGCCAGTTAATAGCCACTGTACCAAAATACAAACGGCTCGAAACCACACACAACTGCATCTTTTGTTTATTCTCTGAGTGAGAAATCAGAAATCATAATAAAGAAGTGTTCGAGTGGTCAATAAATCTTGATCACGTACTGATTCACACACACAGCATACAACACACTCTATCCTGGATTAGAGTGTCAGTTATGTAACAAATATATATTGCAAGCCGTGACTTTCCTTGGGCCATTGGGTTGTATCAGAGCCATGTGTGGAATATGCTACAAACAATGAAAAATAATTTCTCTCTTGTGCAAGCAGGCTGAAGTTTGGCTTCTCTGCTTCCAGATGTAATGACCTTCAAGATAAACAACAGAAATTTGTATGAGGATTGCTTCAAAAGCAATGCTTCCTATTTGATTACTGTGGTCTTTCCTACCCTAAATCTCCAGACAGCTGATCCTCTCCACACCACACAACTGTGACCCTCTGACCCTGCCCAATGGATCCCTCCAAACAGCTCTTCAACCCCAAGCAGATCAATACTCCTGCCCAACCTGGCAGTCGTCACATACCCACCGAGCGTACGCTCAGACCACTGCCCACCAAAACTACCAACACAATCTCAAACACAGCCAGTCCTAACCTCAAGCTCCATGGAAGACCATGTTGCCAGCTGCCAATCACATCCAACACCATCCACAACAACTCTGACATTCCTCAACCCACCAACAGTATTCCCAATCCAGCCATAAGCAGCCAGCCTGTCCAAGAGAATGCTATGGAAAACAGCATCAAACACTTTGCTAAATGCTGAAGACTCACGTGGGATATCATGGAAGGAGATCAAGCCAGCAAAGCTGGTCTGCTCACTTGACTACAAACACAAATCAACTGGGTCTGGCCACCCTATACATGCTACGTCCTTGTATTATTCCTGAAAAAAAAAAAAAA